CAGGAGCGTGGGAAGTTCAAGAAGATGAGGCTGGCACCTCCCTAAGGAATTCGCGGTGTTGTGGCTGGCTGGCTGGCTTGTGAACTAGGGTTCAGTCTGGGGAGATTTCTGTCTGGAGGTGGAAGCTAATAAATGCAACAGAACTGTATCTGTACTGTCTCGTGGAGTTCTTTGGGCTGAACCTGACAGTTAGCAGGGTTTTGTTCTTCCAAAGCAGCAGACTTCCTCCATCTGGCACTTTCTAGAAGTTCTGGATTCGAATGCCCATCTTTCCAGCCAGATGCCGTGATGGGACTTGAACCCTAACCCCTCTGGCTACGGAAGGCTGTTCGAGATAAATGCATCTGCCACTGCAGCTGTCTAAGAACATCTGCAAGGGAAGCCCACTCGCTTGGGCACAAGCCCCAGTGCAAATGTGCTCCAGAGTTATTCCTTCCTTTCTTTAGTTATTCATATTTCAAATTTGTCACTGCCCATAATGTTGATCTTATGCTCCCGTTGTTATCAATTCGGTGCAATTTGTTTTAATTCACCCAGGCACATGCATCCTTTTTACGAACTGGATCAGCGAGGCATTTTTAAAAACACTTTTTCTCACTTGAGCATTATTTTATACCACATCCAGCTTTGAAATCTATTATGCTGAAAGGAAGCATCCGTGGGCTGCCTCCGAAAGGCCACCTCGGGACAGGCTACGTAGCAGGGCTCTTCCTGGTTTCTGATTCTCCATTATCACATTCTTATAGCCATGCATTTCAGGGGTTAAAAATAAAGAGAAAGGTTACTGTACCCGTAGTCTAAACACGTTCTAGCATGCATTTCTCACACCAAAAAAAAACCCAAAACCCTAAGGAGATGCTATAAGCATCTAAGGGGCAAAAGCATCGTCATTGTCATCATCATTGCCATCACCATAGCAAAATGCTTACAAGGAAGCCATTTCCATGATGACATTTATAAGATCACGGGCAACAATCAAGGGAAAGTATGGTGTCGACCGAAGCGAAGTTTTCAAACAGAATCTTTCCATGTATCTCTCGGAGATCCGGCTATTGAGGTTGAAATCGTCTACATGTAAAAGACTGAGCTCCCGCCCCCACTGACCGCCCCAGCACAGCTCTCCTCCTCCTCCTCCTCCTCCTCCTCCTCATGTGCCCCTTCAACAGGTTCCTCGTCAGCTCAGGGTCCCAGTGCGACCGTCTCCAAGGACATGTAGCCCAGAGCAGAAGACCGCAAGGAGCGATCTCCACGCAGGATCCACCCAGACTGCCGAACCCGTTCAAGGGGAGTCCCTGGCCTTGCAAAAACCTCCTCACCCAACTGGCTGACTATCTTCTAACTCAACTTCAACCCCGCCGCCGCCGGCCATTTTCAAATATGCACCAATTTCCATGCACACTGTACAGGCGGACGCATTTCTAGAAGGAACCCAAATCAGTGGGTGCACTGGGGAAGAACATTACCTGTTCACCGTTGCTGGACAGCTGAAGCTCTGTAGGAAAGGCAGTGGCTTCTGTTGAACGCCCTTCTGGTGGCCTCGGTGGTCCTTCGCTCCCTTGGACTCACCTGGGCTCCCTTCCTTCTCAGCTTGGCCCTGTGATGTTGGCTTGCCTTGCTGCTGGGCTGAGTCTCCTGGAAGCACTTCCCCCCCCCCTCCCCCAGTATCCTGCACACTGCAGGTTTCTCCATCCTTCTCCATCCTCTGCTGAGTCTCCTCCACCAGTGGGGGCCCAGTAGACATCTCCCAAACTGCCCCCTCTCCTTTCCTGGGACTTCAGATCAGCTTCTGCAAAAGACGGAAAACAGACGAAGGTCAGTCAGTATGTTTCTCCATGCTACAAACAGCCAAGGTAACATAGATGATGGTTGTTGCAAGATGCAAGTTACTAGCCTTTGTACCAACCTTCCCCAACCTGGAGCCCTCCAGGGGCACCAGACTATAAATCCAATAATTCCCAGTGATTGCATTCACATGACATGGAAAACTCAGTGTTATTTTGAGTACTCTAGTCTTTCTGTGCCTTAGTATGTTGTGTGAATGCAGCTATAACCAATTAACCCTTGAAAAAAATGGGGTTTTGGTGGGAGGGCTGTAATATTCCCACCCCACCCGGCTCAAGGATAGGCTGCACCTCCCTTTCCCGAGGTCCCTTTCCCAAGGCTTCCTGTCTTATTCCAATTAGATCCCCCTCCCCAAAGGAAAGCCCCCTATTTGGTTCCACCGTCATCCAGTTCTTACTCTCAGAAAGATTTTCCCAACTTTTAGTCTGAATCTACCTTCATATAACTTAAATCGTTGATTCCCTGTCCTGCATTCTGGAATGATGGAGGACAGACTTTGATCTACTTTGATGTGCCTTCCTTTATTTGGGGCAAATTAATTACACCGCACCCTTCCTTTCCTAATCCACCCTTCCCCAGCCCGAATCTCCCAGATGGATTGGACTTCATTGCAAGGGTGCGATCACTGGGGACAAGGGGTGTGGGTTCGGGGCAGCAGGAGGACCCAAGAGTGTGGAAGGTAGAAGGCTGTCTGGTTGGATGGACAACTTTTGGCTCCAGCCTCCACTTCTGCACCACCAAACCCCAGTAGCGGACTTCAGAAGATCAGCCAAACGGTTCCCTGCTGTTTTGAGCTGGGAAACATGATCGGCTCTCAGACATTTGCAGTAGAAACCATATGGCCCAGCTGCAGCCGCCCCCTTAACATTTGACTGCCCCCTTTCCCATGGACACCTCTGGCAGTGGGAGTAAGATCCCAGCTCTGCTGTCCACATGATGTAACTCCAGCTACCCCTTTGCTCCCAGAACATGTTGATCATAGACTGCGATCATGTTGATGAAGACCATAACATGATGACATGTTGATTATAGACGAACGGTCAACTGATGCATCTGACTTGTCTCCGTTCCAAAAATGCAGCGGAGGCTGGAAGAGTTGTGCAGCGTGGTCCCGAACGGCAGAAGCCACCCCACTTTCAAACAGCTAAACTTTGTAAACTTCTCAACACTACTGCTGACCCTGATCCAAAGCACCAAGGCCCTCTCTCTTCGGCCTGGAGAAGCAAAGAGGCCACACCACAGCTAGTGCCAAGGTGAGGAAACCTTGATGGCAGGACTCGCCAGCCTCTAAGGCTGCTGCCCCCAAGAGGAGGACGAATCTGTTTGGAAAGGTGCTCCAGGTGACCACGAAACAAGTCCTCCCATCAAGGGCGCCTTCAAAATGTCGTGCGTGTGGCCAACGTCTGCTGAAATTCAACTGCCGCTTACAAGCACCTCCAAAGCCGCTCTGTTTCTAGAACAGGGTTAATTCTGGAAGAGTATGAAATGACATCGAGTATGAGGGGACATCATGTAACAAACAACTAGCATTGTTCGGCGAGATTGTCTTAATATAGTTTTGCCATTCCTTCTTCTATCAATAAACCAGGTGCAGAGTTATTTTAGAAGGAAAACAAATCTGCCCCTTTAATTTGCCACCCTGCTGATTAAAAGTAACTTCCCATTATTAATTGATAAATTATGCCAATTAGGGCAGCATTTCCAACCTGTTGCCCTTTTAAGGTATTGCATTATACCACCATCAGCGCAGCCAGCCGTACCCCAAAGGCATCTTAGGAACACTCAGTTGCATAAAGTTGGATTTTGCCTCAGGTTGCTGCTGAATTTCACTGTCTTCCTTTAGCGATTGCTTGGTCTGCAACTATTCCCTTTCCAGGGGCACATACTTGCTATTTTGGAATCATTCTATGGCACAAAGAGCCCCATCTTGCTTCAGGAAAGTAAGACAATCTAGTCCCTGAGATCTCGGAACCAAGGCTCAGACCACGTCCACCTTTCCAAAACTTTGTAATACTCTCTAGAAAATCCACTCCCGGAGAAAGTCTGTCTATGTGGTCGCTAGGAGTTGACACCAGCTTGATGGCACGTAGTCAACCCATCAAGAAAATCCAGAGAAGTACGGTTTAGTGCATGCCAGAGCATCCAAGTTAAAAGAGAGTGGGCACACTCCAGGTTTCAGATGTTGGCAACTAGGTTGTGGTAGGACCAGAAGCTGGCTGGAAGGGCAACCAGAGGCACCGGCCTGGGCCTTGCGTTCTCCCAGCCGGAGTCCAGCAAGAAAAGCGCGCGAGACCCACGGTGAAGGTGGAGGGAAAGGCCCATCCCAGGATACCCTCAGCAAAGAGCCAGCCCTGGCTTTCCCTCACCTTGCCCAGCTGCCGGTGGAAGGACGTTGACTCAACAGCCCGGGAATTCCAGGAGGGTCAACCTCCTTCTGCCGGCTTCCTTCTACTAATTCCAGAGGCGCCTCTGGAGCCCTTGGGGCAGAGGCCCCAGCAGCGCACGTGGGCAGCAGTGCCCTGATCAGTGCCTGTCCAAATCAGCCAGGCTTGGGCAAGAAAACGCTCCCTCCAGGGAGCCCCAAACCAGCTTGTTGGGCCACCTAAATGGGAGATGACCTGGGCAGGTAACCCTTGTGAGAAGCCCTGGCAGAGGTTCCCCAGACGAACTCACCGAGAGGCCGAGAGCGAAGGCGGAGGCTGGAATGTCCTGGGCCCTCTCTGTGGCCGGGGGGCTCACCCTCTCGCTACCCCTCGGGAAGGCCGCCGAGCAGCAGTCGCCACCGTCGCTGTCGGCGAGGGTCGTCGGCAGTGTCCCCTTCTATCCCCCGTGTAACAGAGCTGGATTAAGGGAAGGGAGAGGGCAGTATCTTTTACCCTGGGAGCTGGGCAGAATTATGAGCCCACTGCTCGCTGTCTCTGTGGCCACCTGTTCTTGCTGGCCCCGGTTCAAAGGACACGCCATCCTGCTGCCTTGCTGGAGGAGAGGAGAATTCAAGCAAACAGAAAGCAGATGACGCGCCACCCTTGCTCAACCCTCGGCTCCCGCCAAAGGGGGCTCTTCCTCCTGTCGCAGCCGCCGCCACCAGTTCAACGCTCAAGACGTGCAAGCGGGCGGTGGGTTATGTCAGGGCCCGGCCAAGACCCCAGGCCCACCTGGGGTGGTCAACAGCTCTGGGTTAGGCCAGGCTCCTGAAGCAAAATCTTTGGATCCGGCACGTTGTGCAAACAAAGGTCAGGGCTGCTCCCAAGGGACTGTCCAAAGACCAGGAAGGAAAAGGAAAGGGAGGTTGGATGGGGAAGGGCTGGATCCAAGCCAGTGTTTCTCAACCTTGGCAGCTTGAAGATGTGTGGACTTCAACTCCCTGCACAGTTATGAATAGTGTGCTAACTGCACCCCTACAGAAGGTGACCAGACTCTGCAAGATGTCCATATCTTGGTTACAATGCATCTCTTGATTACTGCAATGCACCCTCTCTCTCTCTCACCCTTGAAAAGTTTCCAGAAAAGAGGGCAGAGGGCTATGGTCCAGGATCACACAATGCCTGTACTGAAAGATCTGCGCTGATTAGCAATTGCCTACTAGACACAATTCAGGGTGTTGCTGCTGGCCTAGGTGGCTCTAAATGGCTTAGGATAGGCCAGCTAGGTCACTTCTCCTGCTAGGAGCCTGCTCAGAGCAGCAGAATTTTAATAGTACTGCGTTTGGTTTGGGTTTCATTTTAGTATTCTTACTGATGGAAGCCACTTTGTAAAAGAGCCAGAAAGGTAGCAGATGAATCCAATAATACATAAAATAAAACAGTGCGCAAACAGGATCTTCTTAGACTCACAGCTTCTTCTTAAAGAGCAGGGGGCTGCCGTGGCCAGGTACGCCTTTCAAAGCTTCATCTGGGGTGCAAATTGTGCCCTTTCCTGGATCAGACAGCCCTCCAGACAGTCACTCATGCCCTTGTCACCTCACAGCTTGACTGTTGCAATGTTCTGTACGTGGGGCTCCCCTTGAAGACCAAATGCAGTCCTCTTCTGTTTTTGAAGAGTTATCCCGCTGATGGACCCAGCCCTGACCCCGTTTCCATCATTTCCTTCCGAGGTTCTGTTGGGCTGGAAAACAGCTGCCTGCCTATTCCACCTGCAAAGGGAGGAATGAGGGAGAAGGACTCAGCTGATCTTTTTTTGTACAAATATTTAAAGAAGGATCACTTGTGTTAAAGAAGAAAAGGCAACGTTGGTTTATGGATGTGATGGAAGCAAGGATGGTTACAAGAAGAGAAAGGTCTGGAGTGGTAGGATGAACAATGTTGGCATAAGATAAATTGAGTGATGATGTGCTATCAAGTTGTTTTTGACTCCTAGCTACCACAGATAGATTTTCTCCATGACGATCTGTTCCCACCCTGGTCCTTCAGATCTTCCAACGATGCCCTTCTCACCACCATAACTGAGTCCATCCACTTGCTGCTGGTC